TAGGGCCTTGGGAACACTAATCACAATCTATAGTAAACTGTCTCCAGCACACATATTTTATTATTTTTGTAATATTTTGTTTGTAATATTAACATTATTGCAAAACCCTTCTAACTGGGGTTAGCTGGGAGGAAAAATAATCCTTTCATTTAAGTTTGGATAGTTTCACAGCTGGCACACAAACCCAGTGCTCTTAACCTGTTGCTATTGTAACATTAACACTTTCCCTTACCCCTAACCAGGCTTTAAAATGTGTTTGGAGCATTTTTACATCTTAATGGAGGCGGTGATAAAGGGGCCTTTGGGAAATGGCTTTCCCTGCCTTTCACCCTCTGGGGCCAGGTCTTTTGTTCACATGGATGTTTCCTGGCTGCACTTTGGTGAAATTTTCAGCTGCCAGAGCCTGACCTGACCTTTCAGCTAGAGTTGCGCTCCAGGCTCCTGCAGGCTTTAGCTCCTTAGTCGCCCAGAGCCCTCATACTGATCACCATCATGGTTGCTGCCTTATGTCTACTGAGGAATACAGGCACCCTCCCACTGCAGTTCCAAGGTTAGTGCCTAGAGGGGATGTAGGGTAACTTGCACTGGCGACTCTCAGGATCACCTCTGCCTGATCATGCCTCCATGTTTCTACAGCTATCTCAGGTCTTTTGTGGCCCTTTTTGCCTTTGTCAACCTCACTTATTAAAGCATTACACACTCCCTATATCTACGTCATGCTGGAGGAAAATCAAAGAAGTTGAGTCCTTTAGTCTTAGCCCTAGACATACTACAACAGGAAAAAATAATTAGCAAATCCTCATTTCTACCTCAGATACCCACACCTGATTTTCAAGCATTTTTTATTTGCTTAGAAGCTGGAGATAAGACTGTTCCTATGATAGGGTGTTGAGTCCTTGAGTCACCCCTCTGCGGTGATACTGAAATGACTGATGATTTACAGAGGACGTTAAAACATGTCAGTTTAGTGACTATTAGCTCTTCTCTCGCTTTCAGATAACCTCTGAATTCTCAGCATGCTATTTCCCATGTTATCTTCCCACAAAGAAACCATGGAAGGTGGTCATATGTAAAGACTTTTGATGCCTTTATCCAAACCATCCTATCAAATGTTAAAGGTATAGTTTAGGTATGAGAACTTGGTTCTCCTGGAGAATAATGTGTAGATAAATTTTAAAAACACATTTCCAACCTATTTTTAACAAATACTAAAGATGTTATATCAATGTTCTAGGATAAATTCTTTGGTGGTAGGTTATATCTCACAAATCTGACTCAGTTCCTCTATATTTAAAGATACTGTGTCAGGGAGGTTAGGAACTCAAAATGACTGACAGATGCTCTGCATTTGCTGTTACTGTGGTGAGTGCTCACAATGTGCAGTATTACAACGTTGATGGTGCTCCTTATGGCACTGGAACTAGTGACAACCTTTTCCATCTACACAGATGGATATCTTGCTTCTCTTCCAACACATTTCAGTGTTTTGGCTTTAAAATAAGGCAGACAGGTTCAACATTGTGACACAGTTTCCCTGAAGGAAGTAGGCACAGATATCACTTCCTAAGTGATCATTTGTTATTTTATGACCTACCTGGAAACTGTGCTGTAGTGAACACACATGTGAAAGGACTGTAAAAGGATAAGATATACCTTGGCTTCTGATTCCAGCTGAAAAAGGAAGACATTTCTATGGTGATGATCAGGTCAAGGAGCCTTGAGAAGTAGTT